ACCCCCCAAAAAAGGCTAAACAATGTGAACAAAATGTTCCTAAGACGGCTGTTTTGTTGGATTAAGTTGGAGTTTAATTCAAATAAATGTAATTAATGAGCAAAGTGTCAAAGAACAACAACTTTGTTTACCAGAACCAGCAGGGACATTTATTTTAATGTCCAACAGTCGTCCTTCCGGTTGTGTCACACTAATGAATGTAATCATAAATAATATAAATGAAATTATTGGGAACTGGGGGCACTGAGGATACTACAGCACCCCTGTGTGGGTTACAAGAAATGTGCAAAAACTAAATACAGTAGTCCCTCGCTACTTTGCAGTTCGACTTCTGCAGACTCGCTCTTTCACGGTTTTTCATAGTAAGATTGTAGGTGACAAAAAACAACTACAAAAAACGCATCCATTTTGTAGTTTTCTCTCAATAAGCCTATACTGCATCACCAGTCTAAAGGACTACATTACCCAGAAGACAAAGTTGCTTTCTGCTGGAGGGAAAGGAGAAAGCTCCTCGGATGAGAAGCGAAACGTCTTCCGTTACAAATAAAGTCCAGTTGTTTTTGTCTTGAACGCTTTTTGAATTCATCATGTCCTGGATGACTGAGAATCTTCACCTGCACGAGCTGCTGTATTCTGCAGAGCTGGTGAGTAAAAAACATGATTACTCACTCAACTTTAAATTTAAGTTGAGTGATTAAACGTTCTAGTTATCTTGCTAAATAAACTTGCTTTAGTTTAGTTGATTTAAATTTATTTGTTGACTGAACTGTTCTGGTTTGTTGTTTCAACTCAGAAATCTGTCATTTCTACTTCATGGTTGTTCACTTATTGTTGGGGGGGGGGGGGGGGGGGGGCACCATGATAAACGAGGGACTGCTGTACAAAGGAATGACTGGGTAAAATAAAACAAATATATCCAGCATTGTTATGAAAGTTAAAAAATCTAATATTTTTGATAACGACTGAATAATTTTTACACAAAACGAGGAAGCATCCTGTTCGTGTGGTGCACTGAACTAATTATAATTAATCACGAAGAGCAGAAGGATGCAGATGTAGACCCAACGTTTTTAAAGACCACCTGAACGTTCGATGCATGAAAAAACTTTTCTACCTGAATGTATTCAACTGTACAGAGATTAGAAACCAGATTGTCATCAGTTTGAAGTCCAGCTCAGACAATAAATGGGCTCAACTCTGCCTTTTTGAAGGCTGTTAGTATGGCAAGTTGTTTCACTATATAATCACATTACACTTCTCTTTACTAGTTTAGATTTCAATAACAGCATTTCTCCTGGTCATAATATAATTCTCCAATTACCCTATTTTTCGCCGTATAAGTTTGATGTTTTTGCATAAAGTTGCAAGTCCTGCAACTTACACACCAAAGAGACTACCGGTAATGTTTTTTCCACTTATTTATAACTCAATTTTTGGCTGAGATCTGACGATTTCATTCATTCTGACATGGAAAATATTGAACAGTACAGTTTTCAGCCGTTAGAGGGCCCTGGAATAAAATGGCAAACCAAGTGTCTCATCTAATCAGCAGAAATTAAAACGTTTCGGTCTAAAACTCAACACTTTTAACAGAACCAAAGTCTCTGATTCTTCTGGTAAATTTTGACATCAAAGTCTAATTTTATGTGTTTGTACATTAATATGTATTATCTACATGCTTCCTTAAAATAAAGGAAAAAGGTTTGTTTTAAAGAACCTTTTCTTTACATGACGTATTGTGGTACATTAATGTAAAAAGTATTTTTTAATTCTGCCCTTTCATTAGTTTTATGCAACATTTCTGTCAAAACATTTTTTTTATCAATCCCTTGAGTTCCTGTGCATCAAAAACACCTTCATAATTTGAGCTATATTGCATTTTATTAATTTTAATAAAATGTTATCGAGCGCTGAAGTTTTTCCATTTTCTTTTGCACTGAAGTAGAGCTGGAGAAGACGTCCCCCCCCGGCTTCTTGTCAGACGTCTGCGTATTCTATGAATCTATGCAGATGTTTCAAACATCTGCAGGTAAAACGAGCTCGTCGGGACTCTGCAATGTTTACAATCTAGATCTCTTCTCGCCAAACGTTTCCTCAGAGCCACGAAATACTTGAAGCTTAAAGTAAAGGTAACATCTTAAGTGTTGGGAAAATATTTACAAAAACTGGTGACTTTATGAAATTAGTGAACGGTTTGATATTTTATATATTAGCATAAAAACGATCTACTGCTTAATGAAATAACCTTCATCTTGTGTCGACCATCTTTTATACCATTTAATAACTGCACTAACGAACTGATGCAAGTCGTTTTTACTTTAGAGACTTTTCTCCTTAAAATACAAATTGTCTACAAACAAATTTCCTTCTTTTAATTTTTATCAAACACTAAATTTTAGTCAAACAAGACTGAGTCAGATTCTTTGAAACATTTTACTTTTGTATCCAAAAGATCAGATTGACGAAGACTTTTGGAAAGAAGGTGAAACGCTTCAAGAATCCGTCCGGAGGACCTGACTCAGTCCTGTCAGATTCATCTGGATTACCGAGCAGCATCAGGACACAATGTTCTTATTTCCATGTTAGCTGTGGACCAAACTCCAGGAGGTGTCTGCAGAGGGCCCAGAGCCACAGCCCGGTGGTACAGCGGTCGTCCTCGACCCAGAAGGTTGGTATCTGACCCCCGCGTCCTGAGACGAGAAGCTCAAACAAGCTGATGGGAGCGACACTGAACAGGACCAGGTTAGACCTTCAGCCTGATCCATTCCTAACTTTATTATTAGTCCTTACACTAGAAGTCAGCTGCAGTCAGAAAGATGTGTTTCCTCTGAAACGCTCAGATTATAATCCCCCCCAGCCTGCAGCTGCTACAACTTACTGCTCGTTTTAATAGAAAATGCTTTTTCATGTTTATTTTAGGAGCCCAAGTTCTTCTAAATGTAGTTAAATACATGTTTATTGAGGAGAATAGATACAGACCAAAATGAAAACGGTTTCTGATGAAGCCGGTCATAAAATAAAACTAAGTATCTGTACCGGAACAGACAGAGGAAACATTCATCAGATAGCTAAGGTATCTAAAAAACAAGCTATTCATCCATCACTTATAAACATGAGAAATCAATCAGTGAAAGCAGAACTGATATGCTCTGTTAGCATCTACTTCCTGTAACGTTGTAGGAGCGCTTAAATAAAATAAAGCGAGAAACATTTGTCTTCATATCCACGAGTCCCTAAATTAAAAACGTGACCAAATGGCAGCTTCCACAGGCGTTTACCTTCAGAACCAGCTGATGTGACGACAGTGACATAAACAGAAGAGCCTTTAGGGAAAGAGGTGTGATCCATGCATTTACACGGGCCAGATTAAAACAGGTCAGATTAAAACAGGCCAGATTAAAACAGGTCAGATTAAAACAACATGCTCAGGTGTTGGGGCGTTTCACGAAACGCTGCTTTTCAGACGTTTCACACTGAAGTTGGTGTCGTTCCATCTGAACATCTGTGATTATAATCTTGTCTGATTCCACCAAATTTGAGACCCGTCACATCAAATCACATTAATTAAGTCAGATTAGGCCAAAGTAAACTTTTGAAGCTACATTTTGACCATCCTGATAGAGCGTTAGGGATCGGTGTGACGTGATAATTAGGATAACTCACAGAAAATGGGTCTGAATCGTATTTTTATTGTATTTTACTGTGGATTGATTGAAAGAAGAAGCTTCAAGCTACTTTTGGAGATTGAGATTTTTCAGCTGGGATTGAAAATGGCTTCACTAGCACGCAGGGAAAGTATCTAAATTTAAGGCTTTTCTGCTCCACTTTCTTTAGTTTCTGCTCAGAAAAGTGCTTTGAAACATTCTTTGGGCTCGTTTTTCAGACGTGTCGCACACTGAGCCCACAGCTGAGGTAAGTGTGGACCTGCAAACTCTTTCAAACGGCACCATTTCATATAATTCAGCACGTTTTTATTGTTTAAGCCGACTTCAGATAGAAACTTTAGAATATATATGCAACATTAACTGATCGTTTCCTGTTTGTTTCCCAGCGTGTTCTGGACAAAACGAGAACGCACGTGGGAGGCTGACAGGCAGTCGGCCGTCCACTGCAGTTGGCGTTCTCGTGGCTTAAAGCAGGAAACGAGAGTTTTCAGTGATGGACTGCAGGTAAAGAAGAAGGACTGAGCCCAGCAGCATCTCTCTGACTTCACCAGGATGTGTGAAAAAGCTCAGCAGGGACCTAAAGCATCCTGTGTGTGGTTCGCTGTAAAAGAGCCAGAACATGCAGAAACACTAAGAATGGCACAAACAAGTCGTATCATCACAGTAGTGTGTTTAAAATGGGCTGTCTGTGAGAGTTGGTGAGCTGCTCAAAGCTTTGAATGGAGCATTACAGGGGGGGCTCTAGCAGCTGGAGCTTTGTCTGTAGTTTTCTGAGGGAACCATGTTTGGAACGGGTCACTGTGGTTAACGAACCCCTGCTTGGACCCCCGGACTGTCCTGCTCGTTAGTGGGCCCCTCCAGAGTTCGAGGGCGCTGCAGTCCCCCCCTCCGGCCTCTGTCCGTGGCCTCTCCTGCCATGGCCCAGGATACAGTTGGCACTCCCACAGCCTTCGTCGTCGTCGTCTCCTTCGCTCTCAGAGGACGACTCTCCGAACGGACGAGGCTTCTCGTAAAGACAGCAGCCTGCAACACGACGGGACAAAGGTCAGGACCAGACAACAGACACAACCTGCTCCGAGGAGGAGCTCAGACGAGTAGGTGTCGTTTATATGATAGAAATCATTTTAGTGCTTCGGGCTTAACATCACCTGTTCATTTAAGATTTGTTTGGTTACAAACGACACAGAAAAGTTATACAGTCTTCCCTCGCTCTATCGCGGCTTTTCAAAATAAGATTGGACATGATGAACAATTGGCCGATTGATGGATGAGCTGAATGATCACCATGAAATTTTTATTTAAAATGAATTATTTTGAATTATTTAGCACCTCCCGCACCTTTGTGCAGCCCACACTGCAGGATCAACTTCCTGCTGCAGCTGATCAGCTGTTCTCTGTGCAGGGTGGAGAAGTGGGCGTGGCCAAGAGCGCTTGCAAGTGGCAAAGAGCAGCCAAGGCAGAGCTGAAATCAAGATATGCTGTGCTCTTTTAGAGCGTTTAGAAACACTGTTTAGAATATTACAAGAGTGTGGGAAGGGTTTTAAACGCTTCCTTTATTGTTATAGCCGATTAGATCGAAAGAAAGCCATAAAAGATCTTTCTTGGGCTGTTTTTGTTTTTACTTTTTAAATAATTTCAACATAAAAAAGTAAAGTGCACAGACATGCAAACATGAATGTTTCAATGAAACGTGAGTTCAAAAAATGTCCTAAAACTGACTTCCTGTTTTAACTTTTAGTTGATTTATTTACAACCCAAAACATCACTAACTTATTGAGATGTGTGTGTGTGTGTGTGTGTGTGTGTGTTAGGGTACTCACACTTTGAGGATCGTCTTCCCAGGTGCTCGTTATCAACAGTGTCACTGGACCACTCCACTTTCTTCTCAGTCTTCCTTTTCCTTAACTTGATTGTCAAACTGCGTCCTTCCTGTAAAACAGTTCGATGATGAGTGATTAAAGGAAACTGTGCCAACTGTTCAATTCAGTTCAGTTCAGTTTATTTATAGAGCTCTGAGTCGCAACAGAAGTCGTCTCAGGCACTGAACAGAAACATTCATATATAAAAATCATAATTTAACATTATTTATCTGAGGAGCAGACTGCTTTGAGTTTAACTCCATCACAGACTCTCATCTTGAGCGAGCATGAAGGCGACAGTGGAAAGGAAAAACTCCCTCATGAGGAAGAAACCTTTATCAGAACCAGGCTCAGGACAAGAGGACCATCTGCTTTGACCGGCTGGGTTTGAGAGGAACAGATACACAATGGCAGGTCGAGAATCACGTAAAGATAGAAATATATCAAATGAAAACTATTCAATTTTAACAATTAATTTAAAGAAATGAGGTCATTTTGTCCTCTAGTCATGTAATCCTATAACAGCATAACAACCCAACCCTAAAAACAAGGAGTGTCTTAATCCCAGTCTTCAAACTGGACACTGTGTCAGCCTCACAGACAGAAACTGGAACTTGGTTCCACCAGAGAGGAGCCTGAGAACTGAAAGATCTTCCTCCCATTCTGCTTTTGGAAACACTAGGAACCACAAGTAAACCTGCAGTCTGTTAGAGTTATCCTTTATCATGCTGAGACCCCCCCGGTCTTGTCTGCACAAAGTCGGACTAGTTTCTGGCCCCATTCTGTACAGATGAAATTAGAGGTGCACCCATTTATCGGCCCCGATTTCCTTAATTGTGATCAATCGGAAATCGGACGATACTTGCACGAGAACCCAATTTCACCGATATTTTTTTGTTTTAACCATTGTCTGAACTTTATTTATATTCCAGAGCACTACCTCATGGATAGTTACAACAAGTTTGTACTGTTTCGAGGATGTTGTTCAAGAGTATGTTTTTCAATAAAATAAGTTTGGAAAATTGAAGGTGCATTGTGACATTATAACTCCTGACAGTGTCGCTTATAAAACAAAATGCGTAGCGGCCAAAATCAGACTCGGCAGGTCAGACACTTTAGAAATCGATGATCGGCCGAAAACTGCAATCGGTGCACCCCTAGATGAGATGGGCCCAGCTGCTCTGAGTGAGCTTCACAGGGCCAACACCCCATAAGGAATACTTTTTATTTTGTTGGCTTCCACCACGTAGATGATTTGCACTTTACACCCATTTTTTCATCATCAGAAACAGATAAGGCCTATGATGTCACACAGTCACCCCACTGATGCACTCTGATAGGCTGTGCTCCCAGAAGAAGGCGGAGCCTAGGGCCAAGAAAAAGGACGTAGAGTTGAGCCACGTCAGCTCTTCCGGTCTGTGAGCTCCTTGCGTGTCGAGTCGGAGACATTCAGCGCTGAACCTGTAACTTTCTCCTGCCTGATGGAACATTGAATTGATAAATTGAAATGATATCTCTTGATTTATTCGAGTTAGAGCCATTTTCCTCTCCATCTGGGAATAAAAGAACCAGACGCCAGAGGTAGAGAGTCGGACTGGTTTCAGGGACGGACCCGGTCCAGATTCTCATACGTCTGAGAGCGAAGTGCTCTGTTAGGAAAATATGGAACAATAAGATCTGTAATATAAGATGGAGCTAGGTTGTTGAGGGCTTTGTAGGTTAGAAATAATATTTTGAATTCTATTCTGGATTTGACAGGGAGTCCATGGAGAGAAACTAAAACTGGAGAAATATGATCTCTCCCAGTAACTCCAGTTAAGACTCTGGCAGCAGTATTTTGGATCAACTGAAGATGTTTTAAAGAAGTATTTGGACACCCAGATAATAAACCGTTGCAATAGTCCAGTCTATTAACTGTTCACATTATGTCATATTACAAGGGGGTTTCTAAACTAATAGTCACTGAAAAAGACTTCAACAAATCCTAAAAATGCAGGTTCTACTAACAGAACACAAAACCAAACCAAACACCCCAACCCGTCATTTTGACTAAAAGGCTGTTCTAGATTTTTAATGGCCAACATTAACAAGCAGGATCAGAAACTGGTAAATGGACTGTACCGATACAACGCCTTTCTAATCAAGATACTCCAAGCTCTTTACAACACGGTCTGTGCCCTCATGTCCCTCTACACACATTCATACACTGATGGGACTCACATCACAGGCAATGAGGGGTTCAGTGCCTTGCCCAGGGACACTTCAGCATGTGACTGCTGGTGGAATCGAACCCCCAACTCTCCCACTGGAGGACGACCACTCTTACCACTCAGCCACAGCTGCCCCCCAAAACGTGTTTCCCAGCCTTCAAAAAAATAAATAAATGATCTAAAGTCCATGAATAAATACGGTACAGAGTCTGAGGGACGTGCAGGGACTGAGACGGGGGGGTCGGGGTAATCAGGGTAGTCTTCTGCTGAACTTCACCACACAGACAGTCTCTGTTGTCACTGTAACTTTGTTCACCTTACACCAGTCAGTAAATAAAACATTTTTATGTTAACGTCTAAATTACAGTATTTACAGAAAACTTAGAAAATTGCGTATTAAAATAAATTATTTTACAATTGTAACAATAACCTTTTGACATGATCTAAATAACGTGAGTCATCCAAAACTTTGCAAATCTTAATTTTCTTTTCAGTATACAAACAACCCCAGAGCTGGGGGGTACTCCAGAAAGGACATTCAATAAACTTCGACTTTATCTTCCCTGGATGGAGGAACTCTTGAGTTAATCTGACGGAACTGAAGTTCAGTAACTTGAAACAAGAGTGTCCAACACAAATCCACCCTCCATGAAGCTCTGATACCTCCAAACACCACAAGATAAACCCCCGTCAGGCCAATCCTGAACACCGAGCAGCCTGAGTAAGTGCAGCTGGAACTGAGGTCGTGATGAAGTTACAGCTCAGCTGAGGTCTGTAGTCAAAGCTTTAGCTCGGGTGGACTGCACTGGTTCGAGCGGTCACCTCCCAGCATCACCTCTGTCAGTGGACCAGTCACCATAGAAACCTGCACGTGCTGCACACACCTCCATGGTCGTTCATTCTTGATACATCTGACGTTTTGTGTGAGGAAGGGCGTCCGCCATGTTTTAGTTCGCACCCTTTGTACACGAGGCCCCGGCTCTCCGTGACTCGGTAAGAACAAGAGGATCAAATATATCAAGTAATATCAAGTAAAATAAGAAGCTGGATTCATGTTTTTAATATTTATCAGTTTTTTTTACATTTATAATTAGGAGTCAAATAATTGAAATAAACGGACCATAAAATTAAATATAAACTGATTTTTATATTTATTTGTTTTGATTACAAAAACTGCTTCAGTTAAATAAATAAAAATTGACATTTGTTTTGTAACAGTTTATTCTTCACACAATTCTACATTTTATTTCTCTACCTGCCTCTGGCCACATGTTTTATGTCTGTATGAAAGTTTATGTAATAATATATACTTATACAATAACCACTAAATTAACCTACTCAAGGTTTTTAAGTTATTATCACCTTTAGATTTATACATCTCTTTAAGATGATTTAAAACTCGAGGACGTTCTGTATTTGGACCGCAGACTCAGGAAAATGGACCTGGAAAAATAATTCATAGTACATCAGTTCATGTTGAAAAAAAAACATGTGAATTGTTAAAAAATTCTGTGACCATCTATATTTCCATAATAGAAATACAATTTCATTCTCATCATGGATTTCATCGTCGTCCTTCACAAAATATTGTGAAATACATGTTTTTTTTTCAGAACACTATCCATTACTCGCCATGTTGATGTTGTATCACCATTATTTTCATTTAATAAATCACTATAATATTCCTTCTTAGGCATCCTTATAATCCCTACTAATTTATTTTTATACTATATAAGTTATTTAGCACCTGCTGCACCTTCGTGCAGCCCATACTGCAGGAGAAGCTCCCTCTTGCATCGTGTTAGACCTACGCTCTGCAGCGGAGAAGTGGGCGTGGCCGAGAGCAGCCAAGGCAGGGAGCTGAAACCACGACATGCTGTCTCTTTTAGAGCCTTTAGAGTTTAGAAACATTGATTAGAATATTGCAAGAGTGTGGGAATGGTTTAAAACACCTTATAATATACTACTATTTACTACTTGTACTACTATTCCTTCTTGGTGGTTTTTCATTTATCGTGGGGCTTCAGGGTACGGATTCCCCATGATAAACGAGAGACTACTGTAAAGAAGTACTGAGCGGAGTAAAGAAGTCTAATTGAATTATCTGTCTGTTTTGTGGAAATGTTTGTGCTATGGAAACGCTTTGTTCTGATGAGAGCATTGGGGGTGTTAAATCAGATACATGTAGTATTAGAATGTTACCAAGATGAATGAGTGAATCTAGAGAACAGTGAAGAACCACTAGAGTGAGGAACTGCTTCTACACTGAAGCTGTTAGACTCATGAATCCCCAATGAGGAAAATCACTGTAATGCCACTTTAATTGGAGTTGTCACTTTATCTGCGCTACTGACTTCTTGCCTTAAGCTGCTATATTCACACTCATCTGATCTCAACAGACTCATGTTCAGGCTGCTGTTTAATATACTGTATTATTGGGGACTGCCTAGAAAGGACACCACCTATTATTATCCACCTGAAAAGGGTCTCTTGCTCTTTCTTCAACTTTAATGTGGAAATGCAAAACGGCTGGCTTGGCACAGTGATGTGTGCTATTACTTTAATTGGCATTTCGAGTTACCATGGCGACATAATTTGTAAAGACGCACGCCATTTTTTTCCTCATTGAAACAATCTATAAATCTGCCATTTTTAGAGATATTAAGCTCAAATTTGGTGTGGTGGTAGCTGAAAGCAATGCCCCATGAATACTGAATTCAAATAAAAATGTCAAGCTGGTCACCAGGGGCAAATTTCAAAGGCTTTAGCTCTGCTATTTTTGTACATACAGAGCTGAAATTTGGTGTGGCGATAGCTGAGAATGCTCCTCATCACATGCTGAATCCAAATCAAAAATCCAAGATGGCCACCAAAGCTAAAAAAAAAAAAAAACATAAGTCACTGAATTTTTTTGCCACAATGAGCTGAAATTCGGTATGGTGGTAGACGAGAGCGAACCCCAACACACAGTCCTGTTAAATCAAAAATGTTAAATGGCTGCGATGAGGTAGTCCTCGGCAAAGTTTCTCCAGGAACTTTCTAGTAATACATTATTACTGTTTAGCGTAAATCTTAGATCCTTGTATACTGTTTCTTTTTATACTTTATATTTTTGCTATTTTTGGGTGTAACTGGGACCTTGAGTACATAGTTTGGTTCCACCTCATGTACCACATGAGAATGACAACAAAGAACCTTGAATAAGAGCAAATCCTGCCCAGATGAGTTTTATGAAGTAAGTTTGTTTTGATATTTGTTGAACTGATTCAAAATGAACAACTCATTTTGGACAGCTTCTAAAGTGAGGAGGGCAGAGTTTACACCCACTGTCTGGAACCCGCTCAGATCTGTACCCTTCATGACAGTGGTCTTTGTAACACTTAATTCAAATATAATACCAGTTCTTACAAACTGGTTGGCTGGGTTGTGGGATCTCCAGTGTCACAGACTGTGACCAATCTCTACATGGAGCAAGAGAACTGGCGACTCCGACGAGCTTTGTTCGGGGACATTTTGTCTTAAATACACCCAAAACAGCTACAGCCATTAATCTATTTACCGACACTGGATCTCGTCAAATCGACAGAGAAGGTTAATATCATCTGAAAAACATGGATCCTTTGCAGCGCGGCCTATTAGTACGTAGCAGTTAAAATATTGGTTTTATGTTAAGTATTGAGCAGAACCGTGAACATGTCTTTCAGAGCAGCTTTTAACACTCACCTGTTGGGGTGGAGGCGGTGTGCTTGTCTGAACGGTCTCCGTTATCGTCTCACTTGATGTCCCGGGGACCTCCGCCATCCTTAGAGCTGTTGTGCTAACACTAGCGTTAGCCTGCGATAATAATAATAAAAAAGATGCAGAACAAGTGAAGTCTGGCGTCCGTACAATTTAAATAAAATGTATTCTAGTAGCTACAGCCACGGACCTTTAATCGTTAACCCACGGACAGAAGTAAAAACAAAGAATGTCGAGCGGGGGTGTGATACAGATAGGAGCTGTGGATGAGCTAACAAGTTAGCTGAACTCTAACCGGAAGTGAGCCGTTATCGCAAAAGTTGAGATGTCAAGCTAACAAACAACAGAATAAAAAAAGGATATACGAATTTCGATCATTTTATGTGCGTTATTATTTATTTTATGCACTTAAATTTGCTATTTTTATTAATATAACTTCTACTAGATCGTTTTATTTTTTAGACGGCAGGATTTTCAAATAATATTTAGTTTTAACTTCACGCAGTGTTCGTGGGGAAGATATTTCCTGACGGACAAGTTTGCTGTTCCTGTTCCTGTCTGTACGCCTGTGGATAACTGAATCTTCGTACTGATATTATGAACAGTATGAAATATGATAGATTTTAAAATGCTGTATATTATATTGAATTAATAATGTTTATATAATTTTGTCCGAATGAAATGAAAACAGAGTTATTTTATTCCTTTTGGTGGTAAGTTTTAAATGTGGTTGGCATGACTTCTGTGCACTCTAATCCTGAATCACACTGTCATTGAAACACTGTTTTTAATCAAGATATTTATTTATTATTTAAAAACATAATAACAAATTAAAAAGCTTGTAAGACTGTAATTCACTGTTTTTCTTTCTAGTGTAGTTATTAACTGAAGATGTGGAGGGCAGGTTATTCTCAGAGTTTGAGGGTGCCAAAGGAAATAGCAGCCAGACTTTGCTCCAACAAACCTCCTGGACCTCCGAGCCCCGTCTCCTCTCAACTAACCTCCTCTCCTCGGCCAAAAGCTGAGAAACAGAGGCGCAAACGAGAGAGGGAAAAGGCCATACAGTCTAAACAACAGGATGTAAGTGGAAATCATTCAGTCTAAAATTTGACAACGGTCATAGAAAATGCTTCAAATGTTGTCATGTTCTTTTACACAATGAATGTGTGTTTAAACTGTGTTGCTGTTATTACTTCTTGTCACTACAGGGTGGTGCATTGACAGTTTGGGGCAAAGAGAGACTTTTTCTTTCACTTTCCCCTCTTCAGGTGTCTCCACAGCGAGTCATCCTCCTCCATCTCACTCTGTCCTCACTCCATCTACCTCCATGTCCTCTCTAACTGCATCCATAGATCTCCTCTTTATCTTTTTCCTGGCAGCTGCATTTCTAACATCCTTCTACCAATATACCCACTGTCCATCCTCTGGACATGTCCAAACCACTGTCCCTCCTCTGGACATGTCCAAACCACTGTCCCTCCTCTGGACATGTCCAAACCATCTCAGTCTGGTCTCTCTAACTTTATCTCCCAGTAGTTCAACCTGTGCTGTGCCTCTGATGATCTCATTCCTAATCTTATCCATCCTTGTCACTCCTAAGGAGAACCTCAACATCTTCATTTCTGACAGTTCCAGTTCTGTCTCCTGTCTTTTTGTCCCATGTCTCTGTCTCCAGCCCATACAACATAGCTGGTCTCACCACTGTCTTGTAAACTTTTCCTTTGACCTTTGCTTCCAGCCTTTTGTCACAAATCACTCCTGAAACTTTTCTCCATCCACTCCATCCTGCCTGGACTCTCTTCTTCACCTCTTTACCACACTCCCCATTTTCCTGGACAGTGGACCCCAAGTACTTGAAGTCCTGCACCTTTGTGACCTCTGCTCCTTGTAGCCTCACTGTTCCACCTCCTCCCTCTCATTCACACACATGTACTCTATCTTACTACTGCTGACTTTCATTCCTTTTCTTTCAAGTGCATACCTCCACCTCTCCAAGTTCTCTTCCACCTGTTCCCTATTCTCACCACAGATCACAATGTCATCTGCATACATCATCGTCCATGGGGATTCCTGTCTGACCTCATCTATTAGTCGGTCCATCACCAGAGCAAACAAGAAGGGGCTCAGAGCTGATCCTTGATGCACTCCCATCTCCATCTTGAAGCTATCTGTCACTCCTACAGCACATCTCACCACTGTCCTGCTGTCTTCATACATGTCCTGTACTAGTCTAACATACTTTTCTGCCACTCCAGATTTCCTCATGCAATACCACACCTCCTCTCTCAGCACTCTGTCATATGCTTTTTCTAAATCCACAAAGACACAATGGAGTTCTTTCTGACCCTCTCTGTACTTCTCCATCAGCATCCTCAAAGCAAAGATGACATCCGTGTTGCTCTTTCTTGGCATGAAACCATACTGCTGCTCACAAATAGTCACCTCTCGTCTGTCTAGCTTCCACAACTCTCTCCCAGATCTTCATCGTGTGGCTCATCAATTTAATTTCCCTGTAGTTGCTACAACCCTGTACATCACCCTTGTTCTTAAAAATGGGCACCAGCACACTTCTACTCCATTCCTCAGGCGTTTTCTTACCCTCAAATATGCCATTGAATGTTTGAGTCAAAAACCTCACTGCCATCTCTCCAAGACATTTCCGAACCTCCACTGGTATGTCATCAGGTCCTACTGCCTTCCCCTTCTTCATTCCTTTCAGAGCTTTCCAGGCTTCACCTTCACTAATCTTTCCCACTTCCTGGTCAACAGTTTATATGACCTCTACTCTTCTTTCTCTTTCATTCTCTTCATTCATTAGCTCCTCAAAGTACTTCTTCCATGTTCCTGTCACACTCTCCTCACTTGTTAGAACATTACCATTACCATCTTTAACAAGCTTAACCTGCTTCACATCCTTTCCAGCCTGATCTCTCTGTCTTGCCAGTCAGTACGTCTTTCTCGCCCTCTTTAGTGTCCAGCCTCCCATACAGTTCATCATACACCTTCTGCTTTGCCTTAGCTACTTCCCTCTTTGCTCTACATCCCATCTCCTTATATTTCTGTCTCCTCTTCAGTCTTCTCACTGTCATATTTCTTCCTGGCTAATCTCTTTCTTTGAACAGTGTCCTGCACTTCACTATTCCACCACCAGGTTTCCTTATCATCCATTCTCTGTCCAGATGACACACAAGTACCTTCCTACCTGCCTCTCTAATTACTGTTGCTGTAGTAGCCCAGTCATTTGGAAGCTCTTTCTTACTACCCAGACCCTTTAACAGCTCCTTTCTGAATTTCTCACAACATTCTTCCTTCTTCATCTTCCATCATTTGGTCTTCTTCTCTTATTTTACTCGTCTTCACAACAACAGTCATTCTACACACAACCATCCGATGCTGTCTGGCCACGCTCTCCCCGTCACAACCTTACAGTCTCCAATCTCCCTCAGGTTTCCTCTTCTACACAGAATGTAGTCGACCTGCGTACTCCTTTCTCCACTCTTATAGGTCACTCTATGTTCCTCCCTCTTTTGGAAATAAGTGTTGACTACAGTCAATTCCATTCTCTTGGCAAAATCCACCACCATCTGTCCTTCCTGGCTTCTTACCTTGACACCAAACCTTCCCATCACTTCCTCATCCCGTCTGTTTCCTTCACCAACATGTCCATTCAGGTCTACTCCGATCACCACTCTCTCCTCCCTGGGAATACTCTATCACTTCATCCAGATCCTTCCAAAATGTATCTTTCTCCTCTTTCTCTCTCCTCAGCGAGTCTTGCTGCCCTTCCACTTGGTCTCTTGGACATATAAAACATCTACCTTCCTTCTCTGCATCATGTCAGCCAGCTTTCTACCTTTGTCTGTCATTGTCCCCACATTTAGAGTTGCAACCCTCAGTCCTACATTCTTGACTTTCCTCTTCTCTCTCTGACTCCTGACATGTTTCCCTCCTCGTGGTCTTCGACTAACAGTAACTCCGTTTCCTCCGTCTCCCTGTTTATCAACAGCACCGGTGGCAGTCGTTGTTAACCCGGGCCTCGACCTATCCGGTTTGGTTTCAGGGCAAAGAGAGACTGTTGGTAGAAATAACAATGAGTTACTGAAGATACTAGACAACATCCACCCGCCCTCTCCCCCATCAACTCCTCTGAGGCAGCCATAGCCAAAGCAGTTCAAAACATCAAAGTTCTTGTTCAAAAATCCAGGTACAAAATCCAACTAAGTTTAGTCAGGTCATCTGGGTGTTTGATGTTCTGAACCACTTTGGCCATGGCTGCCTCAGAGGAGTCGACGGGGGAGAGAGCGGGCCCCAGAAACCATCTTATCACCAGCAAACTGGTTGGTTCATTATGCGAGTGTTCTGCTTGTGGGACTGTTTTTTTTTTTTGTGGCTCCTCGGACTGATGAAGTCCTTTGGCTGGAGGAAGAAACATCTCAACAACAACAACAAAAAAATAAACCATGCAGATGATCTGACTGAACTTTGTTGGACTTTTTTTACCTGGATTATTGAGCATGAACTTAGATGCTCATTTTAGTCCAGATACACACTCATCTCCAAAACTACAGACATTCACTTTTCAAACCCCTCAGAGACGGGGGACATTGGAGTACTGCTTGTTACCACCTGGTAATTTATTGGTATTTATTAAGTTATTATCCATAAGTAATTACCAATAAGTTATAAATAATGGTAGGTTATTACTAAGAAACTGGTGTATAACATACCATTCCAATAAATTCCAAAATATACCTACAAGATGACTTTGTAATAAACTTATGACCAGGTGGTGATACTCAAAAGTGTACTTTTGTTTTCAGAGTGTTGAAGATCAAACGTTGAACTGGAGCGAGAAGCCAAAGATCGTTTACTCGGCTCACACACCACCAGGGATGAAAAAAGGTGACTCGCTCTTTATGGCTACGCATAAATTTTTCCATCTATATTCTAACTTTCTATCATCGTGGTTTATTTATTTATTTATTTTGTAGATACTACGTTGCCGTTCCCATCTTCTTACAGTCCAGAGTATGTGGAGTCCTGCTGGTATCAGTGGTGGGAAAAAGAAGGCTTCTTCAGTCCTGAAATACATGTGAGGACTTCAATACAGAAAAAATATCTTTTAAATCATTCATTTGCAGCAGATGTCTGTCTACTAGAAAAATAAATCAATCTGTGATGTCATAGTCTGTGATGTCATAGTTAAAAGTAAGAAGGTGTGTTATTCCAGGAGAGCTAATTTCTAATGTGTGTTGTAATCTCCTTTTTAAAAAGCTTCTTTAGCATCACCTCCCCTCTAAAAATGAAAGAGCATGATGATGGTTTTGCCTGCGTATGTTTGTCAGTCGTATTAGCAAACCATTTCATGAGCCAGTAAACATTGGATGCAGATCTAGAACAGATCTATAAGGAGAGGATGGAGAACATGTTCAGGTCCAATAACTACCGGCTGGCGTGGGAGGGGCTTAAGTCTGATGGGATGCCAAATAAGAAAACTCAAATTACTCTGAACTCCTCATCTGCTTTGGAATGTCAAATGATTTTAATTCATTTTACAATCGTTTTAGCACTAATGATTTTACAGAGGAGCTTCCTGGTTTTGAAGAAGCTCCGTCAGGCGCCACAGTGAATATTGACACTGAAAGTGTGGTTAACATTTTTCAAAAGACTAAAGAAAGGAAAAGTCCAGGTCCTGATGGCATAGGGGGTCGTATTCTTAAGAACGGAGCCCTGCAGCTAGCAGATATTTTCAGTCTACTTTTTATCCTGTCTCTCCAAACCTTTAGGGTCCCACAGCTCTGGAAAGACTCTGTTATTGTTCCAGTCCCAAAAACCAAGACTGCTCAGTCCCTGAACGACTTCAGGCCTGTTGTCCTGACTTCATTAGTTATGAAGTCATTTGAAAAACTGGTTCGGGAGATCCTCTTGCCAAAAGTTGAAGATCCTTTGGACCCACTTCAATTTGCTTATCACTCACGTACAGTGGGGAGAACAAGTATTTGATAGACTGTTGATTTTTCAGGTTTTCCCACTTGCAAAGCTTGTAGATGACTGTAATTTTTATCATAGGTGCTCTTCAACTGTGAGTGATGGAATCTAAAACAAAAATCCAGAAAAATACAATGTATGATTTTTAAATAATTAATTTCCATTTTATTGTGTGAAATAAGTATTTGATCATCTATCAACCAGTAAGAATTTTGGCTCTCACAGACATGTTAGTTCTTCTTTAAGAAGTCCTCCTGTTCTCCACTCATTACCTGTGTTAACTGCACCTGTTTGGACTCGTGACCTGTATAAAAGACACCTGTCCACACACTCAATCAATCAGACTCCAGCATCTCCACAATGCCCAAGACCAGAGAGCTGTGTAAGGACATCAGGGATACAATTGTAGACCTGCACAAGGCTGGGATGGGCTACAGGACAATAGGCAAGCAGCTTGGTGAGAAGGCAGCAACAGTTGGTGCAATTATTAGAAAATGGAAGAAATACAAAATAACGGAAAATATCCCTCGGTCTGGGGCGCCATGCAAGATCTCACCTCGTGGAGCATCATTGATCTTGAGGAAGGTGAGGAATGAGCCCAGAACTACACGGCAGGACCTGGTCAATGACCTGAATAGAGCTGGGACCACAGTCTTAAAGAAAACAATCAGTAACACTCTACACCGTCAAGGATTAAAATCCTGCAGTGCACGCAAGGTGCCCTTCCTCAAGCCAACGCATGTCAAAGCCCGTCTGAAGTTTGCAAATGACCATCTGAATGATCCAGAGGAGGAATGGGAGAAGGTCATGTGGTCTGATGAGACAAAAATAGAACTTTTTGGTTTAAACTCCACTCGTCATGTTTGGAGGAAGAAGAATGATGAGTACAACCCCAAGAACATCATCCCAACCGTGAAGCATGGCGGTGGAAACATCATTCTTTGGGGATACTTTTCTGCAAAGGGGACAGGACGACTGCACCATATTGTGGGAAGGATGGATGGGGCCATGTATCGTGAGATTTTGGCCAACAACCTCCTTCCCTCAGTAAGAGCACTGAAGATGGGTCGTGGCTGGGTCTTCCAGCATGATAACGACCCAAAACACACAGCCAGGGCAACTAAAGAGTGGCTCCGTAGGAAACATCTTAAGGTCCTGGAGTGGCCTAGCTAGTCTCCAGACCTGAATCCCATAGAAAATCTTTGGAGGGAGCTTAAAGTCCGTGTGGCCCAGCAACAGCCCCGAAACCTGAAGGCTCTGGAGGAGATCTGTATGGAGGAGTGGGTCAAAATCCTTGCTGCAGTGTGTGCAAACCTGGTCAAGAACTACAGGAAACATCTGATCTCTGTAATTGCAAACAAAGGTTTCTGTACCAAATATTAAGTTTCATTTTTCTGGTGTATCAAATACTTATTTCACACAATAAAATGGAAATTAATTATTTAAAAATCATACATTGTATTTTTCTGGATTTTTGTTTTAGATTCCATCACTCACAGTTGAAGAGCACCTATGATAAAAATTACAGTCATCTATAAGCTTTGCAAGTGGGAAAACCTGAAAAATCAACAGTCTATCAAATACTTGTTCTCCCCACTGTAGAGGAGTGGAAGACACAACAGGAACTCTTTTAAATGTGATTTTAGGACACTTGAAGGTACAGAAACATTTGTAAGATTCCTTTTTATTGACTTTTCACCTGCTTTTAATTGTATTCAGCCCCACATTTTAGCAGAGAAACTACAATGGTTTTATGGTCTGGACTCTGGCCTCATATGTTGACTTGTGGACTTTTTAACTGTTCGGTCTCAGTGGGTGAGGGTCAACAGGGTTCTCTCTGATGCCCTTCTGTCCTCTTTTGTTTCCCCTCAGGGTTGAGTTCTTTCACCCGTTTTATTTATTTTATATACAAATGATTGTTGCAGCCAGTTCCCACAGCGTCACATTTTAAAGTTCGCTGATGACTCTGTCATCCTGTCCCTTCTCAGCAGTGATGACCCAGACCCTGGGCCTGTGGTCAGACTGGTGTGAGTCTTACTTTTTAAAGTTATTTCTAAGACAAAGGAGAGTTGCAGCTCCTGTGGTCATTAGCAGTGAAGCTGTTCAGGTGGTGCCTCAATACAAACACCTAGGAACTGTTCTCGATGACTAACTGACCTTTGACCCCCATGTGAACTCACTTTGTAAGAAGGCCCAACAGAGAATGTATTTTTATCAGAAGTTCTGTGGTTTTAATGTTGATTTGACTTTTTTGAGAATTCATGTTTTATTGAGTCTTTACTTTCACCTTCATCTGTTGGTTTGGACTTTTGACACGTAAGAACAGGAACAAACTCTCGGGGATTGTCAGGATGTGCAGCAAAACTGCTGTCATAGTCCTACAGAACCTCACTGACCTACACAAGTCAAGGTCAATGAACAAGACCAGGCTGATTCTGGCAGATCCTGATCATCCACTCCTTGGTGAGTTCAGGTTGCTTCCATCTGGACGCAGGTATCTGCTGCCCAGATGTAGAATGAACAGACTGAAAAACTCGTACATCCCTGTAGAGATCAGGCTTTTCAACAAACAATGATGATTTATTTTATTTTAATGTCTTGTCTAGTGTGGATGTTTTGTGTGCCTACTGACAGTGAAACTAATTGCCCCATGGGGATAATAAAGATTCTTGAACTTGAACTACAACTGATTAGTGGAGTCAACCACTAAACAAAAAGCTAAGGGCCTTCTCCTACTCCGCTCCTGTTTCCTGGAATATCTTGCAAAAAGATCTGAAGCTCTCGACCGTGACCTCTAAAAGGTTTCAAACATCTGTTGAGTTCATGGCAAAAACCAACGCAGACATGTTCCTGTTTTTAGTATTTTTTTTGTTTGTTTTTTTAATATAATTTCTTCCATTTATTTTTCAACTTATTTGCTTTTTTATGATTGTCCACTGTTGTCACCATTCTTTGTTTAAATCAGGTCTCTCTTGTAAATGAGTCCTTGAGGCTTAATGAGACTAAGCTGTAGAAATAAAGGTTGAATAAAAAATAAAATTTAAAAAGCAACCTCCGGAAACACAAACTTGACAGTCAGTTTTACAAATATTGATCATTGATTGGGTGTGGTAGTAGCTGAGACATCCCTAGCACATACTTTGAGTGGTAATAGATCCATTGTACAGTCACACATGTTGATTTTGCAAAGTTTGCCAAAGCAGTTATGACCCTCGTATCTCAGTAGAAGATCTTTAGATGTCCCCATTGGGGAGTAAGACTAGGACTAAAAAAAACCTCCATCCGGTGGTCTTGTGAACATGATAACTTAAAAAATAAGCAACAAGCGACTTTCATTTTGTTGTGCTGCTGCATCTAAACATGAGAAAGGTCAGAAACGGGGTTTCCACGTCAAAATCCAAGATGGCCACCGCTATGTGTTTGTGTGTGTGTCTGTGTGTGAACTGGTTTTTGTCACCTTTTAAGGACCATTTGTAATATACACATTCTCTTTATGAGGACCACTAAACCTTCCAGGAACCAAAGCCCAGTCCTATTATTGTGGAATACCAGTTTTTGGTTCGGGTTGTAATTTAAGACTAAGATGTAAACTGATTTTAGGATCAGAGTTAGGTTTAGGGTCATGGTTAGGCTACAGAAATAAATTAAAATCAATACACACGATCTTAATACGGATATAAATACAAACGTGCGTGTGTGTGTGAACTGACCACCTCTATAATTTGAGGAAATTGCTTTCTAGTTTTAATATTGCTACAAAGTAGTTTCCTTAATTGATTGGGGTGGCAGGAGATTAATCTATGGGGGCCAAGGCCTCCATTGTCCACCCCTTGGCTCCTCCATTGCACCTGGTTATGGATAAAATTGCTCCCTCTGCTCTTCAGGATCTGTCACTCTCTACTTACATTTCCCATCCAGAAAAACACTCGTCTCCAAACCTACAAACATTTACTATTCAAATCGCTCAGAGATGGGAACATCGATGATCATGAGTGGCAGTAACATCAAACTTATAACATATTTTTCTGGGAGGAACAGTAGCATCAGAAGTGTTTAAATCTTGTACATTAGTAGAAAATATATCTTTCACAGAGTCACTTGGGCCTGACTTAACAAGGGATGCATTTCTGAATGTGTCGTGTTCATACTGAGTTCATGGTATTTGTATTTCCACCTGGTATTAAAGTGGCTTGTTTTATTCCAGTTTTTCACTCGACAGTCTAAACAGTGTAAGTTTCTGCTTTATTTATTATATTTCAGGAGAGGTTGTCTCATCGTGTGGATCGAACCTTTTCTCTTTGTATCCCTCCACCCAATGTGACGGGAACGCTGCATGTGGGCCACGCTTTGACCGTAGCTGTACAGGATGCTCTGGTTCGATGGTAATGTCCTCAACATGTGTCACATGCTTCCTGAAGAATCTGCTGTCTAGAATCAAAAAGCTTGTGTTGGCCTGATCTCGATTTATTTTTCAACTAGGAAAAGGATGCAGGGCTACAGAGTTCTTTGGGTCCCCGGATGTGACCATGCAGGTATCGCAACCCAGGTATGACACCTTGGCCCCTTTTCATTCTCTTCACTATTTTGTCTTATATAAAAAAGAGACATACATTTTTATAAGTCTCACTAGAACAAATGTAGATGTCTACGTGCGTGGAAGAGTTACTGATCGCTGTCAAAGTTTCTCCTTATGGTGTTTGTAAATTCCAACAAAAATCTTTCTCAGTGTTTCCTCTAGCTCAGCCACCTTGGCATGGTGGGTCTGCGTTGCCATGTGTGTTGCCCGCCTGCTAGCTTAGTGCTATGTTGCTGCCGGTTTTTATGGGGGGAGGTCACGTCTGTGTTTAGCGCTACGTTGCTGTCGGTAATTGTCGATTTGGGGGGTGGGGGGTCACGGAGCAGTATGTCAGTAGCATTTTTGCTAGCGAGTTTGTATTGCGCCCCGCGCTACAATGATACAGATAGTTGTCGTGTGTGTGTGTGTGTGTGTGTGTGTGTGTGTGGGGGGGGGGGGGTCGGTTCTGTTGATAGGGCGGGGCACCCCGCTTGTATAGTAGTAGGGGAAACACTGAAATCTTTTTTGTTCTCATCGTCTTTGTTGTTGTCTGTAGGCATGAACAGAAAAATTATCTTATTAATTTGGGGATTTTAAGGATTTATTTGAACCGTACTTTGTTCAGGTTGGAATGTTTACACAACGTACATCATTAATGATTGCTACAAATAAGAAATAGAAGCACAAGTTTGAATTTATTGTGGATTTTCTTTGATCTGCACAGTGGAAAATTAAACACACGAGCTCCATTACACATGATATTTCCAAAAGGATTCGCTCAGACATCCAAGTCTTTGAATTCACGCGTTCCAGTCCCTTCCATGGCCACAGGTGTAAAAATCAAGCACCTAGGCTCACAGACTGCTTCTACAAACATTTGTTTAAAAAAAAAGAAATGGGTTGCTCTCAGGAGCTCACAGGGCGAGCTCAGCAGATGCTGAGGCGCAGAGTGCACAGAGGTCGCCAACGTTCTGCAGAGTCAGTAGCTACAGGCCCCACATTTCACATGACCTTCAGATGAGCTCAAGACCAGAGCGTAGAGAGCTTTGTGAAGCTCGGACAGAAACAACTTCAGATTTCAGGATCACCAGTTCACACAGCTGTGTAAGTAAAAGTTATTCAGCTGTGTCTCAACTTTCACCACATCTGATACCCCCCCAAAAAAAAAAAAAATAAAATGAAAGGAAATTAATTCAGATGTTCAGGAACAACCCTGGAACCACCAAGTCTCAATCCTGCCATGAACTGGAAACCAGTGGAACATCAGAATCTCTCATTAAGTTATAGTCAGTTCTATATACCGTATTTTCTGGCGTATAAGTCTCAGTTTTTTCTAAAGATTTGTACTGACAGTCTGACATTTGTCAGTCCTTGTACACAGAAGCGACTTACATACGTTTTTTTTTTTCCATTTTCATAACGCAATTTTTGACTGACGCTTTAAATTTCGAAGAACTGCAACAGTGAGTTTCGGGCATCTGGTAAGGATGCTCCTATGGCGCCTCCCTAGGAGGTGCTTTAGGCATGTCCGACTGGGAGGAGACCCCAGGGAAGACCCAGGACACACTGGAGAGACTATGTCTCTC